CATCCCCTCTTTTCCCCTTTCTCCTCCCCCTGCTACCGCCACTCCCACTCCCCATTTATGCATTCCCGCTTTTTCTTTTTTAGCTTTTACCAGAAAATAAAATAAAATAAAAAAATTTTTTTTATTTTTTGTCACGCGAGTGTTTTGATGTTTTTCCATGCGGGTTCCCACACGTCGTCGTTAAAATATAAATCATCGATCGCTTCGCATTTTTTTAAAAAATAATAATAATAATAATAATAATAATAATAATAATAATAATAATAATAATAATGATAATATTAATAAAAAGTTTATTTAATGTTCAATAACGACGGATTTATGGTTTTTGATCAAAACAATAAAAAAAATTATTATTATTATTACGACCATTTACGTTATGCGTCTCGGCACCTTTCCCCGGTTTTTTTTTTTTGCGGGTGAGGAGGAGATGGGGGTGGAGGTAGAGATGGAGGTAAACCAAGAGAAATCCATTTACGGTTTACCAAAGAGGAAATGGAAAAAAAAAAAAACCACGCGGAAGTTTTGTCTGCATTTCGGTCCGGTTTTCTTCTTCCGTAAGACAAAACCTTTGGTAGTATAACCGCTTTTGTTTGTAACAAACAAACGCGTTTCCGCTGCCACGTCACTAACTATAAACCGTGCTGTCGTTAGTTACTATTCTATTAAAATACGGAGGAATTTAAATATTCGGACGCGTTTGTTTGACATTAATGTAACACCCGGATCCGACAACGGGAAGTACCGAAAACCTTTGATTTTATTTTGAACGAATAAATCGCAACATTTCTTCCTTTGAATTTAATTTTGTTTTTTTTTATTTTCAAAGGTTTTAAGATTTTAACCTTTTTCTTTTGAATAATTTCGGTAAATGCGATCATTCGTAATAATAATAATGATAATGATGATGATAGAAAAGGGTCACGTTTAATTTTTCACACTCTCGTTTGTTTCTTAAAATAAAATTACTATTATTATTATTATTATTAAATAATAACGAATGTTTTTTTAAACGAAATAAAAGTAAAAGATTTAAATTTTATATTTAACGTAAAAAAAAACACATTATCACCATCATTATTATTATCAAAACAAATTTTGTAAAACAAGTCAATAAATCAGAAGAAGTTTTTTTTTTTCTTTTTTTTTTTTCGTATAAATTTTTAATTCCAATACGTGTTGATAAGTATAAAAATGTGGTCTAGACGACCATTACACGATTATTCCCAAAGGAAAATTACCATTTTTTAAAGAAAAAGGAAAGCCGATTTTTTTAATTTCGTGACTCGAAAAAAAGGAAAAAGTTTTTTTTTTTTTTTAGCGTCGGTCGACAAATAACAGAAAAAAAAAAAAAGGAAAAAAAGTTTGTCGTCGAAAGGTTAAAATTGTTAAGAAAGTAAAGAAAACAAATTTAACGTTAATTAACGAAGACTCACTTCGTGTAAAAAAAAAAAAAATTTTTACCAAACTAAAATCTCATGTTTTACTTTTTAGAACTCTATTATTATTATTATCATTATTATCATTATTATTATTTTTTCCCATGGCGAAAATTTATCAGAGGATTTTATTATTGTTCATCACCGGGTTTGGTCACAAGAGAGATTATTTGCACGAAAACTCACCGGTTGACGACAGCTCTCAAGTAATATTACCCTTTTTTTTTTTTTTAAATAAAAAAAAACCTACGAAAGACGACACGAATTTTCGGTCGATAGAAAAATATCATTATCATCATCATCATCATCATTATTAATGTGAAAAACTTTATCGGGGCCGATGGAAAAAGTCAAAATTTTTCCTTTTTTTCCTTTTAAATAAATAAATTTATTAACCATGTTCGTTAAAAATTAAATCGAATTTTTTATTTTCTTTTGTTTTAAATTTTCTTTCGACAAACGGTTTGTTCTTAAACGAACAAACAAACAAACAAACAAACGAACCTTAAATAAGCTTAACGTTTTTATTATTATTATTATTTTAAATCGATATTTAAACTGATATTGAAACAATAAAATCACGTTTGGTTTTCGGTAAAATCGAAACGTACGCGGCGCGGTTGATAAAAATCGATAAATCGACTTAAATAAATAAATAAATAATTAAAATAATATTAATAAAATTTTATTAATTTATTTATGTATCTTATGTATATTTAAATATTTACAATTTTTTTTTTTTTAAACATTTAATTACGGGAAATAAAAATATTTACACGGAAAACGGTGAAGTAAATTTTTTAAATAAAAAAAAAACGAGGGGTAACAACCGACAACAACCAACAATCTACAAACAAACAAACAAAAAATTTTTTTATTAAGTAGATTTATTACTCGATACGATACAAACAAAGAAAAAAAAATTTTTTTTATCGAAACATTTTTATTTAAATAAAATAAATACAAGAAATTTTATTTAAATAATTTTATTAATGCATATTAATTTGATAACGAAATAAAGAAAGAGAGAAAAATATACAGAGAGAGGGGGGGAGAAAAAGAGAGAGAGAGAGAAAATAAAAATGTTTCGCGTAAAAAAAAATTATTTGTTTCTATTAAAATTCAACGAAGGAAAAAATTTAATTTTACTTCATTGAAAACGCATAAAAGAAGGAAAAAAAATGTACACAAAAATGTTTGCTTGAAATAATTTCAAAAAAAGAGAGAGAAAGAGAGAGAGAGAGAGTAAAGTAATCGATTTGAAGTAAAAGGAAAAAAATAAAAGGAAAAAAAATATATATATAAAAAGGTTTTTCTCTGACTTTTAAAGATTGGAGAAAAGAAAAAAAGTCAATGTAATGTGTTGCAGTAATGAGGGTAGTAGGAGTGGGAGTAGCAGTAGAAGTAGCAGTAGTAGTAGTAGTATTAGTAGTAATGAAATTCTTTAGAAATTCGGTCTTGAAAATAGAAAGAGAAACAGAGAGAGAGAAAGAAAAACAGTTCGTGCAAAGAATTTATAAAAAGTAAAAAAATTAAACTTTTTACGAAAAGGAAAAAGAGAGAGAGAGAGAGAGAGAGAGAGAGTGAGAAACAATAGAGTTAAGAAAATAAAATAAAAAAACAAAAAAGAATTTACTAGAAAATAACAAAACTTCATTTTTAGAGTACATGATTGATATGCGTTTGTTTTCACGTCGTAAATAACTCGTCGAAAAAATTAAATAAAAATAATAAAATGGAGGATGGGGGGGTGGGGCGGAGCGAGGCCGAAACGAGGAAAATTTTTTAGGGTGTTAAAAAAGCCTACCCTTCCCCCCTTCTCCCCTTCTCACAGGGGATGAGGTGGAAAATTAAAAAAAGAAAAATTCGTTTGCAATTTTTGACACGTTTTCAATGTTTTTTTCCTCCTACTTTCCTACATTTCGCTCATATTTAACATTCGGTTGTAATTATTCTTTTTATCAATTGTATTTTTAAAAAAAATGTTTTTTTCTTTTCGGGGATTTTAAAATCGCGCATGTCAAAAAAAAAAAAAAAAAAAAACAATCGTCGGGTTTTATACTTACCAAAAATTTACGGAAACCAGAGAATGGGAGGGAAGAGTGGAGGGAAGAATGGAGGAAAGGGTGGAGGGAAGGGTGGAGGAAAGGGTGGAGGGAAGGGTGGAGGAAAGGGTGGAGGGAAGGGTGGAGGAAAGGGTGGAGGGAAGGCAGAGAGAGAGAGAGGGAATGAGGAAAAAAAATTTTTTTTCCGAGAGAAAATTTATAATTTATTTCTATTGCGATTTCCTTTTGAAACAATGATCTATCCGAATTTTATTTTCCTTCCTTCCTTCCTTTCTTCCTTTTCCGAATTTACCGTTCATCATTAAACACACACACACAATCCTTTTGTTTAAAAACTAACTTTGTTTTATAACAAACTTTTTCTCCTTTTATAAAAAAAAAAAACTTTGAATCGAAATAATAATAATAATAATAATAATAATAATAATAATAATAATAATAATAATAATAAATTATTATTTTATAAGTTTTATTATTAATCTTCTTTTTCAAACCGATTAATAAATGTTTATTCATAAACGTGTGTAATTTTCATCGTCCATTTTTTTTTTTTTTTGTTTTCCTTCAGATTTTTCATTTTGAAAATTATTTTTCCCGTAAAAAATTTTTTTTTTTTAAAACTCTCGAATCTTTTTCTTCTTTTTTTATTTTAAAAATAAAAAATAAAATAAAACAATACGATTTTTATTTTATTTTTTTAAAAAAGAAAAAAAAAAAAGATATTATTGAAATAAGAGATATATTTGGAGGAGGGAAAAGGAGAGGGGAGAGAGGTCGAAACCTGATTGGAAAAACGGTAAACAAAAGTAAAAGAAAGAAGGAAAGCAAAAAAAATAATAATAATTTAAAAAATAATAATAATAATATAATTGAAATGTTTGAAACGACATAAAAATAAATCAGAGAAAAAAAGAAGAGCGAATGTGATAAATCTAGAAGAGGAAATGAAGCGAATAAAGGAAATGAAAAAAAAAAAAAAAAAAGTCGGTAGCGATAGGGAAAGAGGGGAGGGGGGAAAGAAATAAAGGGTAGAAAGGAAAACGGGGCGAAAAAAAAAGGAAAAAAGAAAGAAAAACAAAAGGAAAAAAAAACAAGCAACAACAACAAAAACAAACGTGAGGATATTGTTTTTTTTTTTTTTTTTTTTTTTTTTTTGCACGTAAGGAATAAATTTTTTTTTGATTTGATGACCGTTTTTTCTAGAAAGTTTTTTTTTTTTTTTTAAATCGAATTTAGTTTTTTTTTTAAAATTTATTGTTTTTAATAAATTTTTTTTTTTTATAACAATTTCAAAAAGTTTTTTTTTTTCTTTAAAAACAAAGTTTCAAATATGTTTATGTCAATGTTTTCTTATATAAAATGTTTAAAATATGTTTTGAATATCGACAAACAAAACAAATTTTTCCTCTCGAATTTTCCTACTTAATTAAATTCCATAGAGATAATTATTACTCTATGATCAAAAACGTCTTATCTTTTATTATCATCATTCGTTATGAAAAAAATTATCACACCTCATTTTAACCTTTTCATTTTCAATACGAAGAGTTAAAATCATTTATAGAAATTCCAATCATTTCAACAAACGAACAAACAAACAAACAAAACGTTCGTAACATTTTTTTAACCGACAAAACATAAACAAACATAACATTTGCTGGTTTTTTTAATAAGAGTTTTATTTAAAAGTGGTAAAATTTTAAATAAATGATTTGATAGTTTTTATCCAGAAAAATAAATAATAATAATTTTTTCTATTATTTTCCAGAGTCATTCCAGGGGCCGCACGAAAAAAGGCTCCTTCATAATTTGCTGGATCATTATAACGTACTGGAAAGGCCCGTCGGAAACGAATCGGAACCTTTACAATTAAGCTTTGGATTAACACTTATGCAAATAATAGACGTTGTAAGTTACTAAAAAAAAAATTTTTTTTCATTATTTCAAATCGCCGTTTCCGGTTTTTATCACCTTCCCCCTCCTCCTACTCCTCCCTTTTCAAACCTTTAGTAACGCATTAATAATAATGATGATGATTTATATGAGTAACATTTCGAATCATTTAACGATTTTCGATTAATGGTTTTATAAATAAAAAAAATTTTTTTTTTTATTTTTAATTATATTATTTTACAGGTAATTAATTAATTAATTAATTACTCGACGTAATTTTTTTTATTTTATTATTTTTTATTACCCGATCATTAAGATTAAGATATAAATAATAATAATAATAATAATAATAAATTTATGTTTATTTTCTTAGCGATGACGACGCGAAAAAATTTTTTCCCTTCCCGTTTATTATTATTTTCTGATAAATTTTTTTTTTTTTTCCCACCGATATGAATGAATCGATTAAGAAAAAAAAACGTTTATGTTTGTTCGTTTGTTTGTTTGTTTGTTTTGTATTTACGTTTATTTTTTTATTTAAAAATAATTGTTTGTGTTGTTATTTAAGAGGTATATAATCGTGTTTACGTTTGGGATGATGGTAGAATAATACGCTATCATAATATTTACATGAAAACGATTTTCTTTTTTTTTTTGCTGTCGTCCGTGACAGTGCTGTCGGTTAAATTATTATTATTATTATTATCAAAAAGGGGGGGGGATAAAAAAAGATTTACGACGACGTTCAACTTCGAATAATCGTAATAATAATCTTATGCGTTTTTTTCTCCAGCAAAGCGTTATGAAAGATTAAAAAATTAATTATATGCCAGAAAAGTAAAAAAAAAGAAAAAATTTATCGTTTTCGTGTCTTTCGAAAGGCTGGAAAAATTTTTTTTTTCTCTGGTTACCCCACCCCCTTTTTCTTCCTCCCTCCCTCCCCCTACCTCTTCCCATTGATTTATCGAATTAATTTAATAAGATTCGATTTTTTTTTTTTTTTATTTCCTCTTCTTTTCTTTTTCTGGATTAAAATCTACGGAACCATGTAAAAAATATTTCGAAGAAGAAATTTCGACTTCATCAATTTTTCATCACCCCCTCCTCCCTCCGCCCTCTGTTTTTCAATTCAAATTTTTTTTTTTTCGGGAGAGGGAAGGGGGGGTTAAAAGTGTAAAGTTGAAAAGTTTAAAACCGAAATAAATTTTGTTACGTTAATAATTTATTTATTTAAAAAAAAAAAAAATCCTCGTCGTATGTTTTAAAATTTTTTTTTTTTGTTGGATACGGATGACAACATTTGAAAAAAAAAAAAACAAAATGGCGGCCGATTTTAACCCGAATGCATCAATAGTGTTTGATTTATCCGCGAATATTTAATACACGTCACGGACGCGTGCGTTTTTTTTTTTTTTGCATGCGAATTTTATAAATACGCGCGTGAAAATTGTATAAATTATTCGAACAAAATTCCTTTAAATTAATTCCTTTTTAATAATAATAATAATAATAATTTTATAAATGATTTATTTATAAATTTTCAAAAATAGTGTTTTTCCTCTTTTTCTCTCTCTATCTCTATCTCTCTCTTTTTTTTTTGGCCTTTTCGTGCTTAAACCTGGCTGGCATTTAACTGTCACTTGTCATATTTTAATTAATATTTTAATTTTATTGAGTTTACGAGGTCATTTTAAAAGGTTTTCCTGATTTATGTTTTTAAAAATCGGTGGTTGACTACCTTTTTTACGAAAGGTTTTTCATAAAATTTTTAAATCCGGTTATGAATTATTATTATTATTATTCAACCGTATAAATTTTATAATTTCTTTCTCTATTTCCCCCCCCTTTTCCCTTTCCCCTCCATCCATATTTTTAAACGTTACACGTTATAATAACGATAGAAGGAGTAATTTTATCGGTGGTAAATTTCCTCTTTTTTGCCAATTACGATTACGGTGATAATGATAATGATGATTAAGAAAAACACGACGATGACGATGGTAATAATAATAATAATAATAATAATAATAATAATAATAATAATGTAAAGTTTAATAATAAAGAAGATGTCGAGATGATTATATTTTTGAGTTGAACAAACAAACAAAATAATTTAAGAAAACTGTTTTCTCAACTTACTCTAACCTTCCTGTTTTAACTAATTAATTGGTTTTAAATATGTGTCACGATTAAATAACAAATTCCAAAAAAATATCATTCTGGAAAATCATGGAATTATCGATTTTTCTATTTCGACATTTTTTTTTTTTCGTCTGATATTTATCCGTCGGAAAACAAATTTTTTTTTTTTGTATTTTTTTTCGCGGTGAATTTAATTATTTAAAAATTTTACCGTGTTTATTATTATTATTATTATTATTAATATTATTATTATTATTATTATTATTATTATTATTATCGTAATCACGTGACGGTAGGAAAAAGAAAATGGGGGAGAGGGGAAGGAGGCGAGGAGAAATCATCGAAATGATAATAATAATATATTTTTTTTGTTTTTTTTTTTTTTTTTTTAGACGGGTAATTGGACGCTAACAAAAAACGAAATAAATTTTTATTAATAAATTGTTCAAGTTGAACAAGAAAAAATGATGATGATGATGATAATAATAATAATAAATTTTTCTTTTTACCTTATGGTCGTTTATTCGATTTTTTTTTTTTTTTTTTTTTAAATTTATTACGTTGAATTTTTTTTTTTTTACCCGACTTTGAAAAAATTTATTATTATTTTTTTTTTCTCCAGTTCGAAACCTTGATAAAGACGGTCAGGTGTGGAGGAAAAAAAAAAATTTTTTTCCTAACGGTTTTTTTTCTTTTTTTTTAAATTGCAACCGGATATTCTTTTTTTTATTTATTAAAAAAAAATCAATAAAATCATTTATTTATTTATTGTAAAATTAAACAAATAATTTATTTTTATTATTATTATTAATATGTTTTAATCTTTTTTTGTATTTTAAATTAGTTTTTACGATTTTTAGTTTGTTAAATTTACGAAAAAGTTAATTAAAAACTTAGGGGTGATATTGACATGAGTGATAAAAATGTAAAAAAAAATTAATACGATTGTTTCAAAACAATTTACCGCGTGAAAAATTAGAAAACAAAATTTTGATTACTTTCCTCCAGAATTCCAAAAAAAAAGGGATAAGATAACGAATGAACGTCGCTTTTTTTTTTTGGAAAAACCAATACATTTAATCAAATAAAACAAAAAAAAAAACTTTATTTTTTATTTATCATCATCATCACCACCACCACCACCGTCACCGTCACCACCTCTGCCGCCACCACCATCACCATCCCGTTATCATCAGTATTATTTTTTTTTTTTATAAAAAAAAAGAATTTTGTCAGAGGAATAAAAGACAATGATGGATGTCTTCTGGTAACCGATACCGTGACCGATCTAAAGACAAAGTAAAACAAGAAGTGATTTATTTATAACACTTGATTTATATTAAACCACGTGACACAGGTGCACATACAAAAAAACATATCTGTAAATAAACAAAAAAATTTTTTTTTCCGTTTCGATTTTTAGGTTTTTTACCTCGAGGGGAGGGGGTGGAAAAACGGGGGAGGAATAAGAGGTGTGAGGTGGGGTGAAATGTCAGGTATATAATATGATAAAACGCACTCGTGAAAAAAAAATTTATTTTAATTAATAAAAAAACTATTAAATGAGGTGAAAAAAAATTTTTATTTAAAGATTGAATAACTCGACAAAATGTAAAACAATAGATTTAATTGTTATATTTCTCCAGTATCATTATAATTAAATTCTGGAGAAAAATAAGAATTTAATTTTTTTTTTTTTTTTTTAAAAAAACATGATACGGTCACGGATTTCGTCATTAATTTTAATTTGAAAATAATTAAGGGGGGGGAAGCGATAGAATTTCTAGAGAAACGTTATCTCGTTGGAATATTAAATAAAAAAAACGGGGGGGGGGGGAGGAAAGAATCGTCGTGTACGTTTATAATAAACTACTTAATAATATTTTTAAAAAAAAAAAGTTTTTCCTTTATGTAAAAAAAAAAATTATTTTTCTAGAGAAAACCTTTTTGTTTTATTTTATTTTTCTCCAGGAATTTAATCTACTTTTCCCTACTTAAAATTAATCTGAAATTTAAAAAAAAAAAAAACTAACTCCAGAATTAAAACGTTTAAACCTTTTTAAGAATAAAATTCAAACCCGAAAAAAAAAATGGAGGGAACGAAAAATAAAAAAAATTTATTCCCTGGAAAAAATTACCGAACGAAAAAAAAACGGGAACGAAAAGAGGAAAGGAGAAAAGATAAAAACTGGAAAACTGGAAAGAAAGTTCGTGTCACGAAGTGAAAGAAAAATATTTTCTAAGAAATCCACTCCTCATTGAGACAAAAACCACAAAACTAACCTTCGACCTTTTTCCTTTAATCGTTAACTACAGAAAAAAAAAATTTGTCGGTTTTATCATCATCATCATCGCGAACGTTTAAAAACGAACGAACGAACGGTTAAATTCAAAAAAAAACCGTTAATTATTTTCTTATTTAAGAGAATTAAATATTATTTTAAAATGTCGTTTAATAAGAAAATTGCGAGTGTAATAAAATTTATTTTAATAACCAAAAAACCCGTTCGGTTGTTATAAGCCAAACGGAATGATAAATGATAGTATTTATTTTTAATTGTCACCGAACGTTCTCACTCTCTCACTCTCACTCTCACTCACTCTCTCTCTCTCTGTATATATAAGAACCGCCATTGTTATTTACTGCTCGATAAATCTTTTTTTAACTGTTTTAATAATGACCGCCGAATTGCTCGATGGTTGTTGTTAATCTTTAGAAAAACATTCTTAACCTAAATTCAACAAACAAACAAACAAACAATTTTGCAAAATTTTTAGAAACATGGAACCGTTAATTTTTTTAATGTTGGTAAAACTTTTTTTATCATTTGACATGGCTACGTTTGTTTAAATGTTTGTTGCGCGTGAAAAGCTTTCACGTTATCAAAACGTTTTAAACTTTTTGTTTTTTGTACGT